AATGGATGTTTAGCTCCACTCTTGCGTGGGAAAAAGCCAACTTTATCCTAGCTGCACTTTCCATTAAAAATAAAGTTGTTTGGGAGAGGGGACTTATCAATATGGCATCCTTATTCCTCATTGTCTCATGCATTCCAGAAGTAGAAAATGAAATTATAATCAATAAATAATCAAATAATCTATTCACTAATATTTAAGATAAATGCTATAAAGCAGCTGACAATTTATGGGGAATATAGCAGGTATAATATTTAAAGCTACATAAAAAGCAGCAATAATCTGTGTGAATGTAATACATTATTCACTTCCACAAGAAAAAGTAAAGGGGTTTAGAGAGTAAGTAGTTTAATTTACTTGGAGAAAGGCATGAAGTTTGAAGAGTTACACGTTCATTTCTATAGGAGATGGGACTGGGGTTAGAGAATCTGTGGAACAGGGACTGGAGATCATTGAGTAGCATAAGGAATTCAAAGAGAGATGAAGGCACAGATTTCAGAGGGTAGCACCAGGACTGGGGGAAATTTAAATAAGTTATTCAGCGAATGTTCAGGCAGAAAGAGAAAGATACAGATTCTTGCAACTAAAAAAAGCGAGAATTGTGGAAGTTTCCTGCTACAGCAAGGGGAAAGATAAATGTGCAAAATATACTGTAGCTTTCACACATACAAACACGGGGGGGGGGGGCCTTTGACACAGGTGCCACTTTAATTGGGAATGGAGAAATAAATATCATGTTTCTGGACTGAGGTGGTAATAGGAGAACATCCTTCCTTTGCACTTTGTATCCAGAGTTTTGAAGCCTGAAGACCAGTGTTAGGTTTCCCCAAGAACTGGAAGGGAAAGAAGATAGCAATAGTCCCTATCAATAACTGATTTAATTTTAATATTATTTTTCTTTCTCATAGCTACTAAAATTACAGTATACAGGGTTTCACTGAAGGGACTATTGAAGGCACTCGATTTTTCTCTAAATGAGTTCTCTTTTGGAACTAGAATTGCCTGCCAGACTCCTTCTAAAGCAGAAGGGTGATCGTTTCTTGATGAAAAAGGGAACTAATCCCCGCAAACAATTTTTGAAAACTGTGGTAAAAACTATGGCATGACCATAGTGTTGAGCAAACTTTGAGCCAAATTGGGATACAGTTTAAATGATGTAATGAATATCTTAAGTAAATTTGACTTTTTCTTCTTTAAATGAGTATGTCATTAGAGAGATAAATACTTTTGTTTGTTTAAAGCATTATTATCTTATTTTTCAACCAAAAATACACCAGAGCACCTGACAAACCAATTCTCTCTGTGTCCCTCTTTGTGTGTGGGTGTATTTGTATCCTGCATTTCCTCTAGGAGATCAAGGCAGTATAGGTAGCATGCCTCCTCCCATTTTTCATCAACCCCACAATCCTACAAAAGTGCTATGAAACTGACCGATGTAAATTCTCCTAGTGCTAAAGGTGTACTTGACAGGAAATTTGGAGTTCCAGGCAAATATTTTAACTATAACAAGGAGAATAATTGGGATGGAAGAAAAGAAAAAAAGAAAAATGTTTCTGTCACTGATTCATTCATCAGTGATGCATTGAAATATAGAGAGAGTGCTCTGATTGGACATAGGCATTCTTTCAATTATGTAGTCCTCTTTTAATTGATATCACATTTTCTTATATTTTTCCTGTCTGTGCCCAGTATGTATCAAGCCCTAGTTTCACTGTTTTTATCTAATAGTAGCTCTCACCTCTGATTCCCCGCAGATGTGGCATTCATCTTAGTCATAACTTAAACATGGGTAATGAAACCACGGTGCCTTACTTTCTACTCCTGGAATTCTCAAAAGATCGGCATCTGCAGCTTCTACATTTCTTCTTGTTCTTCATATTATACCTGGCAACTGCAACAGGAAATCTGCTCATCATCTCTGTAGTAGCCTTTGACCATCGACTACGCAGCCCCATGTACTTCTTTCTAGTGAATTTGGCAGTGCAGGACTTGGGTATTGTTTCAGTCATTGTCCCCAAATCCATGATGAATTCTCTCATGGACACCAGACACATCTCTTACTTTGGTTGCTTTGCACAAGTCTTTATCTTTGTCTCCTTTGAAGCTTCTGATTTATCCCTCCTCACAGTCATGGCCTATGATCGGTATGTTGCCATCTGCAATCCACTGCACTATGAGATGGTGATGAATTGGAAAACCTGCACCAGAATAGTGATTCTAGTGTGGTTCACAAGTCTTATATATGCAATGTTGCATACCAGTGGCACCTTATCCATCCCTTTCTGTTCTAATGTTGTCAACCAGTTTTTCTGTGAAATTCCACAATTGCTAAAGCTATCCTGCTCTGGAATCACTTTAACTGAAGTTGGAGTTGTACTTGCCAGTGTCGCTGCAGCATTCGGTTGTTTTATTTTAATTATTGTATCTTATGCCGTGATCTTCAAGGCAGTGTTGAAAATCCCTTCTGCAAAAGGAAGGCAAAAGGCCTTTTCCACTTGTCTTCCGCACCTTATAGTCTTTTCTATGTTTTTGGTACCTGCATGCTTGGCGTACCTGAGACCTCCCTCTAACACCCAAACTTACTTAGATTTTGCATTAACTGCCCTATATTCTTTATTTCCACCGCTGTTCAATCCAATAATCTACAGCATAAGAAATAGGAATATCAAATCTGCCCTGTCTAAATTGTGGAGATTCTGAAATTTTCATTTGAGAATGTTTTTTATCCTATTTTTCCTCACATTCAACTTTCTGTGTCTTTGTTTTGCTGAGGAAAGTAGAGAAATTTCAAAGGGAGGCACAGCTGAGATAGAGACTTCCCAATCTGGACCAATACTAGCACTTGAGAAGATGATGGCCTACAATCTTATATCCCTAGTTACTGGCCTTGATTTTCAGGGTGAATTGCTATGAGGTGCTTTAGCAGCATCTGAGTACCACAAGTTGAAAATCACTGTTCCAGGCTTTACTATCAAGATCACATATAATGATGAGCTGACACCCCCCATATCTTCCTAATTGCAGTTCTCTTTGGATAATTAAGTCTGAGCTCTTGTTTCTGCTGAATAAAGGTGGTCTTTCTTTAGCCAAACAAACAAACAAACAAAAAATTAGACATAATCTTTGTGCAAATAGCCAAAGATCCTTGTGCAAATCTTTGTGCACATGAGGATTTTTTTCCCACATTCATTCCCTGAGTCTTTTAAGATCACAAAGAGGAATTTAGTTAGGAAATGTATTGCTGGGGCTGGTTTTATATATCACACTAAGCCATAGTTCACTTATCATTCAATTATTAGGAAAGCCACAATTTCCCGAGATCCCAAATCATGGTAAGACATAAATCAGGGTTATACAAACTGTATTTTAACTAGATGCACACAGTTACAAACCAAAGCCAAAAAAAAAAAAAACCCATATGACTTAGCAAATTGTTTAAATAAAGCCATAACCCTGGTATATAAATACTACTCCTCTTGAAAACATCACACAAAAGACAAATTAAAACATTGGGAATTTAACTGAGACTCTATTGTCCTTGGGAAGAGATCAAGAGATGATGCTTCTCAGATAAAGGATTTTTAAGAATACCAGACAGAATTGCAGCAAGATGTCACTAAGAGCTAAAATGGGTCCAGAAAATTTTATTTTGAGCCAGCACTGTGCCTGGATAAATATACAAGGCAAGACAAGATACTTCCTTACAGTCATGGATCAGCTCAAAATCAGAAAGAAAACTAAGTGTAAGACAGCAAATAAAAACCACATTAAAATACAATAATTATAAAACTGATGTGGTTAAGGTACTCTACAAACAGTAAAACAAAACCTAGCCACATTAAGAAAAATATGATCGCATTGATTGGATAATAGCAACTGTAAATAAAATGAATCCAGGTGGCCTGGAAATCTGAGTACATGGGGAATTCTTAACTGCAACAGGGCATTTTTGTAATATGAATAAAAAAGGACACGGTTTTTAGTGTTTCAGAGACTCTTCCATCACAGGGGCAAAGTCTTTGTTCAAATGGAACGCCCCATACTTTTCCTGCAAAATCAGCTGTTGGGAGGGCATTGAATGGTACTGAAGTTAAGGCTCTCCTGAAATTGGGAACTTATATTTGGCTTCGATACCCAGATGAACAAGGGTGAATGATTGCACAAGAACACATCTCTGGATATAGCGGCCAGACCTAATTGGGCTTCCAAATCTTTGATGCACTATTTAAGGCTGCCTCTGATCCCACTATCAGAATTGCATTAAGTAAAAAAAATCATAGCACTTCCATTTCCCATGCAATATCCTACCCCAAGATGAAACAAAGTCATCATTCAAAATTAGAGGTGCTAAGAGCAGAAGAGAAAAAAGTAACTTTAACCAATAAGGAAACATGCATGCCTAAATATGGGTTTCATTTTTCAGTACACCAGCCTCATGGTGTGACACCACATTTGGAATACAACTTGGGAGAGGCCAAAACTGTGCAAGAGGCCAAAATTTATTGTTGTCATGATTTTCTGAAGCTCTGCCTTTTCTTGGACTCAAGTAGATGCTTTTACTGTGTTTTCAAAGATACTAGGTCTTGAGCCATGTATGAAAGAGGGTCACCATTACATTTTTTAAAAACACTATTGGTGAATGGTGTTTTGGGAGCTACTTTGTGTTAGCTGGTTGGGGCAGTATTTTTATTGTATTTTTTAAATATGTATTGTATTTTAATTTTGTTCGCCAACCAGAGTTGTATTGGTTAGGTTGGTAGCCATATAAATTGGTGTGTCTGTGTGTCTGTGTGTCTATGTGTGAATGTCTCTCTCTAGCTTCCAGAGAATGGCTTCTTTAGCTTTCTTTCATAGAAGCTGTCTCTAAAAGTATTGTGGCCTTCTTTTAAATTTTGTTACAACCTTTAATCTTAACTCCAGGAATGAATTTGTATTTCCTGATATTTATTAATGACTTTTCAATATAGGTTTTGCCCTCTCTACATAAAGAAAAGACTATAAAGATGCGGTGTGTTGCATTTTTTGATGAAGCAAAAGGACTAAATGCTAAGGAAATGTCAAAGCTTCATATAGAAACCTCATCATGGGAAACAATGAAGCAGCATCCAAAGCAGAAAGTTATTGACATCCTTCACCCTCAAGAACAAGACACAGAAATGGTGGGACAGCAACCAGAACAAAAGGAGAGGTGAGTTTGAGCCAGTAGAACAGCTCTCATACAGACATAATAAGATGGTGCCACCTAAAAGGCTTACACCATCAGACACAGAAAAAGAGACGTTAAGTTCTTCCAGAAGGCAACAAATTGAAGGGGTGCCATACACACACACACACAAATATGTCTTGCTACAAGCTAATAGAAAAATGCTTTAATCTCTTCACAGGAATGAAACACAGAGTTTCATAGAGTTCCCAAAAGGAAGAAATGCATTGGATGTTAATGGGGCTTCTGTATTAAATGGGATGCAGAAGTGGACATCCAGTGCTATAAACTCAGATTCATCACCAAAAGATACTTCCAAAAGCTTGTCAAAGATTAGGATGAAATCTTCCCACCTCTCATGAGGAGATGACTTTTGAAAAGCTTTTGTAATGGTGCCACTGTATGAGGAATGTGAGAATGAATCCTTAATCAAGTATTCTGTGACATTTTTTTTCCAACCTGGAGCAAGCATGTATAGTAATCACTGATAGTTTTGGTTTTCTCAACTTTGTCTTATTTTGGGGTCCATGAGAATTTGCCAAGCTCCGTGTTTTGTATGATTTCATTTATTTTAACAAAATGCTTTGCTTACCAAAATAAACAATTAATAAAGAAAATGGAATGCGAAAAAGCAGCTTCTAGAACTGCCAATATTTAATATGCATTAGAGCTCACAAGCATTTTTAGGAAATAAAAATGGTGGGCAACGGGGGAAATCCTGGAGGAAATACAAGTAAAAGGAGTACCCTGAATCAAACTCAACCATTTATCTGCTGATAAATGGGCATTAATACCAAGCTGCAAAAATGCCCGCATGCCCCACAAGGTTGGGGGGCCCTAATCTACTTCATGGTGCAGCCCCATTTTGAATATTACATAGCATTCTGGTTCTCAGCAATGACAGAAAAACTAACATTGCAGATTGGGGACTTTCAAATAAGTGGATAGAAAACCCAGAGTTCATACCTAAAATAATTTATTTACAACATTCATAACTAATTAATGGCATTCATCACTATCACAAGATAGCCCACAGACAGCTTTGAGATGGGCCATGGAATGGCTTCAAAGCTGACTATAAAATTTAATCGCAACTGTTGAGATCTGTTATAGACAATATGTTATGAAAGTCTTCTCACTTAATCCGCATTTCAGCATGGATAGCAGTAGCTGCTAATTGCTAATTATGTTAAAAATACACAAGCTCATTATAATATTTTGCTAGTTTTGTTTGTATGGTCTAGTGGGAAACAAAATGATTGCCAAATGTAAAATCAACTCATTATTAAGCTTGCCAAATATAAACTCAAAGGCTCCCACTAAAGATGCATCTTTTCCATGACTGAACAAGAATAGCATTTATCTATTACTGGACCAATATTGAACATTCTAAAGAGCAGACATCAAGAGAGACAACAATTCTGTGAAGATAAATTGTAAGTGATTTGTGTACTTATTATTCTACAAAAAAGCCATTTCCAGGTGTCTGGGGCAAATTGGCCCGTATTGACATATCCATGACTTGACTCTGTGTTAGACTCAGTTCTGTACTTTTGACATTAGGGAGACAATTTAATGGAATGAAATTAGAACATAGTGCTTTGCTGTAATAGAAAAAGTTTTAAGGTTGGGAAGACAACAAAGACATATTTATTTTCAGAAATTTAGATGGTAAAAGGTAGGTTAAAAGTATTATGAATAAGAATAATGGGAATCTATTGTATGGGAGGGGTGATATATAAGCTTCCTAAATAATAAAACAAGTACATACTTAACATGATGACATATCTTCCTCACTGGATATTAAAATTGAGATATTTTACATTTTGTACAAACATAGCCGCCATTGGGTAAACTGATCACTAATTCCTGAATTT